ATGGGGGAAAGAACTCGATATTCGTGCATGCCCTGTAAGCCAGATGGAAGGTGTTTTGTTAGCCGCCCAAATTGGAGGAGTTGAAGGATGCTGAAAAGAAGAACAGCACGCCCGAGTTGCGCCCACGGAACCTCAGATTCTGGGTCAACCGGCACTCTTCCGGTCAGACTTGGCCTTTGCGTTGGATTCTTGAGCAGGTTTCAGTCGAGTCTTCGCAGCTTTCTCCGTTGGTTGAAAGGCCATTTGCACTGTGCGCAACAGATGCCAGCCAGTTCGGCGCCAACAGGCTCAGGTTCTCGACACCGGGTGGGGGAATGGGTCCCCAATACCATGTCGTGAACAGGGAGAGATGGACTCGCGCGGTTGGGGGGACATTAAACTGCAGCTTTAGCGCCGAGTGGAAGGCCCCGTCCCTATCGAACGGTGAATGAACACTCTCTAGTCGGCGTGTGTTGACCCCACAGGTCACACCCTCATCCTTCTTTGCGGATTGATGTTGGATGATCGTGCGGGACTTCCTTGGTGACTTGGTTGTCTCGATCGGCACACACGTGGCACGGGACCGACGGGTCTCACCTTGGCTCCAGGTCAGCCACGACCTACGATGATCCGGAGGAACAGGCAAGGCCGGTGAGGGGTTAACGGGGCAACCCGTTTCGGCTTCTTCCTAGCTGGGTCAGGGTCCTGTCGCGAGACAGGAACATCCCACTGGGATGTAAGGGCTCGCTAACCACTTGGTCACCGGTTGGCCCACTCTCTCCTTTGAGAGTGGGCTCAATGTACAGTCTGGCCACAGTGAGAAGCTGTGCTCCGTTGGGACTGGGATCACTGAAAAGGTGATCAAGTCCGACCTTTCTGGTTGGACTTCTCCTGAGATGCCTTGGGAGTCCGGAAACCTTCGCGGGCCCACAACATGCCTACTTTGCGTGCTGTTGCTGGCTTGCTTGTGGTAGGAAATGAATGGTTTCTGGGGTCTCCACGTCCCTTCAGGGAAATGAATGGTTTCCTCGGTCTCCACGTCCCACCACTTGCTTGCTTGCTGGCTTCGGTGCGCTTGGTTTGGCTCGGCCTATTGCCTAGAAGCAGGGAGTTTGACAATCTGGAGTTGGTGACAATTCTGCCATGCAATGCGCCAATAGTGTGTTGACCAGATTCTACTGAGACACGCCGCAAACGTGGGATGGAAGAAAGTGCTTTGTCTGAGATGACGCTTGAGGCGTTTGCAGGGACGCGGATAGCTTTCGGGTGCCGCAGGCAACCATCTTTCTCAACCTGCCGTTTGTGACCCCTGTGCATTTCGAACAACTAGATTGAAACATGAATTGTCTTGTGGGTGGAAGGCAGAGCCAAGAGCTCCCTCCCAGTGCGATGTTGGGTGCTACCCTCCTGGCCAAGCTGTTTTGGGGTGCACCGCGCCGGGGTGGCATCACCTCCCTCCCTTCTGTGGAGGGAAGCTGCAGGAGTCTTGGATGCTCCTGCGATTTCGATGTACCTTCGCTAAAAACTGACAGTCAAGCACATCGAACAACAACAAAAGGCCGCACCGTTGACAATGATCTGCCCTCTCGCTTGGCCCGTTAGAGCTAGCTTGTTGATAGTGATTTTCCAGGGCCTGAAAGCAGATGAGGATATACACCTTTCCATTGAATTGATTTTGTCTTAAGTGCAGTTTGTCCCGACTAGTTTGCCCATGCTTCTTCAAGTGCTTTCTTCGACAGCCATTCCACAAATGAGCACGGAGAACACAGCTCATTAGTGCTCGATGACACAGCCTGCTTGAGCAGGCTCATTGACCCAGTGTCATGATGTGCCAGCAAGCATTTCGCACCGCATCTCGGATGGCCAGTCTCGTGGCCTTTTTGCTCTAATTCATTGCCCAACCTCTGTTTCACTCTCTGTCTCACCCATGCATGCACATTCAAGAGTACTTTCAAGAGTCCTCTGCCCCGTGTTCTGTTGGTTGCGTAGTTTTGCTTTTGGGTGCTGTTTGGTTTGTTTTGGCCCCTTTCCACTCAGATACTGCACACGCTGACCTGTGCACTTCCTGCATGAATGGCGGCTCGACTCGTGCAAAAAGACTCAGGTTCTCGATCACCGAAAAAGCTGAGACAACACGCAAGAATCCAGCTGGTCGTGGAAGCATTGATGCCAGATCGAATGCACTCTCGGCGCCGAGCAATCTCAGACGACCAACCGGGCACTGCAAAGGACTGGAGTCTTCTCTGCAAACCTCGCTGACACTCTGCTGCAATGTTTCCAAGATGAGTGTCCCCAACCTTCAACGTCTCCAACTGCGTCATTTCAGTCCCGACCCCTGTCAGCTCGCTCTCACGCCTTCAACGATTCTGACATCTGCCTGCTTTTCCCCAAACATGAGAGAGATCTCAAACCTTGACCTTCTTCAACCTGGTCACTCCTGCAGCATCACACCTTGATGCTTCTGCCAAGAACTAGTTCACAATCTTGTTCTGCGCCATCTGGATGACCGTGTCGAAAACCGTTCTCCCCCTTCTAGAGCTGAACTCCCATCAGGCCGACATCCATGTCCTCATCCCCTTTGGAGCAAACTTCTCGGTCATCTTCTGGTTTTCGGAAAACCTCGGTCTTCTCCGAAACCTCCGGAAACCCTCCTGGTTCCTCCTGAACGCAAGCAAGGAAAGATCTGCCTCAGATCGGTCGAAATCTCCGTCCAGACCTTCGGAAAAGAAGTCAGCAAACCAGAACCATCCTGTCCAGAACAAAACTGGGCCTGTCAATGTTGTTGTTCATCCTCTTGAGGAACACAAGAAAACATGCCCCATCTCCTGCCTGACCTGTTCAACTCCATCCGGCCACTTTCTGCGCAAATTTAGATTCTTGGCAAAGTGTGAAGCGTGTGAAGGGCGAATTGAAACTTCAAGAGAGCAGGAACGTCTTGATGTTGCGGACATCGATGCTCACAACTTGAAGTGCCCAACTGCAGGACGAGGCACTGGCACCTGCTCAGTTTCCTGGACAACGCCGTTTCTGGTGCATTGCAAAGCCGAAATCGTTGCGGACTGAGCTGCCACCCATCCACTGAGCAATTTCGCTGCGTTGGTGGTCATGAACGAACGGACACGTGGATTTGGTGTTGTAGCCTGGGGATTGTTTGCTTCTCATGCCTTTGAAGATGCTGAGAGCCGGGCGTTCCTTGTTTCAGCCTTTGGTTCACTTGCATTTCACAAAAAAACTTATGTTTTCCTTGCATCTTTCTCCTCTCAAGTGACGCGAGGCTGGACCTCAATGTGCGCCGGGGAAAAATATCACGCGAGGTTTGACCTCAACGCCTGCTCGCGGGGGAAAAAACGTGTTTCGGTTTCGGTTGCAATGTTTTTTTTTTCCTGAAAACTTTGTGTTCAGACAGATCTAAGATTCCGAAACTCTTTTCTTTTTGTGAGTTTCTTGCAATGAATTGGGCAAAGTGACATTTACATTATATAAGCGTTCTTGAATGAAGTTGTGATTCTTGGGCGACACATGTATGAAAGCGTTTTTTTTTGGTGGCTCCTGAGTCTTGGTGTCAAAGCCAAACCCAAAGGACACATGCTTTTGGGATTGCACTCACGCGGGCAGTTTGCTATTTTTTGGATTGACCGTTGCTGAATACTCGGCTGTTTGTTGCAAAACTGTTTTGTCAACATAGACATGTAAGAAAGGGGTGCTTTTTAAGTCTAATCGTTGGAGTTGGGGTCCAAGTGTCAATGGATCAAGCATCCTCATTCAAGAAAAAGGCATGCTGACAGCTAGTGCAAGACAACGGTTGTTGTGTTTTTCGAACACACTCTTATTCAAAACCCGTGCGCAAATTAGAAAGAAACACGGTGTCTCATTGCGCCATGTGCCTCAGTGCTGCGCATCTCCAAAAACAGTCGTCTAAAGATGCCACGAAAGCTATACAGGCACAACAAAAAGGACTCGTCACATAAGCTGAGACTGAGACAACATGTTTTGAATGTTCTGAAGTGATTCCATCAATATCAAAGTGTTGTTAATTCCTTCAACCTGCGGTTCTAAGGTAGGTTTTGCAAACAAAACTGTTTTTTGGTTTAGCAAATATTAGTTTCAAGAGTTAGCACATCGGCATACGGCATACTTTGTTTGTGTTAGGTGCAAGGCCGCCTCAGTCTTTGGAATGAGGTGCGATTGAGAAAACCTATTTTAGTTCGTTTCATTTTTTGTTTTTGCAGCAACAATTTTCGCAGATGGTACTCTCCTTTTTGAGGGACACCGTTTTGTTCTCATTCTCCGACCACTATTTGAACATTGTAATTGTTAACAAACGTTTGGGTAGCCCTTGCTTGCCAAGGGCTGTCCTCTTAACAGGTACTTATTTTTTTAATACTTTAGCATCCAACTTTCTTCTTCGGACAATTTCGGCAGGTTTTGCAGACTGCTGGCCACATGTGGTCAAATCAAGTACAAGTGGATGCCATATGCTGCGGGGCGATCCTCCAAGCATGCACAAACAAGTCGAGGAAGGGTGGCTGGCATCAAGCAATTCGACTCTTTTGGCAGATGCGATCAAGATCGACACAAGTCTCATTGATTTGTACCAATGTTGCTTTGCGGGTTGTTAGCCAGCAGCCTTGGGCTCAGCTCATGTCTCTCCTCACATGGATGATAGATTCGGGCTTTGCACCAGATGGGCACTCCTTTTGCACAATATTAGCCTCTCTATCATCCTGGCCCTTGTGTTTGCGAACTTTACTCGAAAGAACAGACAGGAGTCCGATCTTAGTGAATGCTGCCATTTCTTCCTCAAAGTCTTGGACAAGGAGCTTTCAAGTCCTTTCAGAACTACGTCATGATCGATTACCTGTTGATAGCATGCTTCTCAACAAACTGCTGGGTTCTTTGGAGGAGTTTTGTCAATGGAAAACTGCCTTGGCTTTCCTGGCCGACTGCGCAGAGAAACCCATTGCAATGGCAGCACCAAATGTGGTGAGCCTTAATATATGCTTGAGTGCATGTGAGAAGGCGGCAGGGTTGCAGTTGGCTTTATCTCTACTGCAATCCATGGAGGATAAATACGGCTTTGGACCTGATGTAGTGTCATTCACAGCAGTCCTCAAAACATGCGCAAAGATGGTGGAATGGGAATGTGCCTTACAACAGTTGACGGTGATGAGGCACTGTAGAATTCTACCTGATGTTATTGCTTACAATTCTGCCATCACTGCATGTGCAGAAGCCATGAATTGGTTGATGACGTTGCAGATGTTGAAAGATGCTCAACGAGTGGACACAGTGACGTTCAATGCTGTTCTGAAAGGCATGGAGAAGTCAATGCACTGGGAATATGCGTTGGCAATTGTTTTTGGCATGCATGTACCGCCCTCTCTTGTCACTTACAACACTTTGATGAGCGCCTGTCAGAAGTGCAGTGAGTGGCAGTGGTCGTTGCAGTTGTTGGTGTCTGGCGTGCTTGCTAGCAAACTGGTGCCTGACCTCATCACTTACAACACCTGTTTTGCTGCCTGCAAAAAGGGCTCATGCTGGCAAGAAGCTTTGCAACTTGCGGACAAGCCAGTCGTCAGGACTGACTGACAAGTGATGATTTCACGAAAGGTAGCCTGGTAAGGGTTACCTTGAGTTTGCTTTGCGAAGCAAAGGGGTAGCTTGAACAGCCTGCTAGGGACCAATATTGAGATATCAATTCTATGACCCCCCCATTCCATAGTGAGTAATCATTGATTAATCAATCATTTGGTGTCCCCCCCGTCCCCGGTGTGAAGAGTGCATTGTTGAGCCATGGTTGAGCTTGGTGTGACATGTATGTGGTTCATTTTGCAAACCGAAGCCACATGTGCGCTATCAAGGAAAACGCGCTGCACGCCGCTGCTTTCATTTGCATTTGCACTTGCTTGGATTTGATCCCTTTTCAACGCGTGGGTGTTTGCTGTTGCTTTTGGTTTTCCTCACCATATTGGTAGCGGAGCCCTGAGGGGCTCCCTACCGGAACATTCCTGGTCATTGTTGCATTTGCGGTTTTTGGGGTGAAACATAGGCTGCTGCTTGCTTCATTTCCCATGGCGACCGCAGCGACAGCTGCGACTGATGTTCCGGTGGCGCCAAAGCGTGATGCAGGGGCAGTTGCTGACTCTTGGGAGGATGAGGAAACCTCTGCTGACCCTTGGCAAGATGAGTCGAAAGATCCGTGGGTTCAGGGGTCCAAGTCGAAAGCAAAGTCCTCGAAAGACAAGAAAGTCAGAAAAGAGCAAACCATCAGTTGTTGGGAGCACACCATCGGTCCCGGACTATGAGCTGTTCTGTGCATGGTGGCACTCCTGACGTTCTGAAGATGACAAGAAGCCACCATCCGGTTCCTCCAAGACTGAAGAGTCCTCCAGCTTAGGTCATGACCGTAGGCACCATGACAAGAAGCTTTGATCTGGAAGATCCTTGACGAGGCCTACAACGAGACCAGTGAGGAGCATTCGGAGGCTGAGTTCCAAGCCTTCAGAAGAGCACCAGGCCAGTCGATTCCATCGTACATTGGCCAGTTGAAACGTTTGAAGATGGAATACCTTCGTGAAGATGATGGCACTCAGTTCAGTGACAGAGCCTGGGCTCAAAGGCTCCTACAAAGAGCCTCCCTCTCGAAGAGGGAACGCTTAGATGTGTTCTACAGTGCTGGTGGCAGCTACTCGTCCACGGCGATCGAAAAGGCTTTGAGGCATCGCTGTCAGCGTATTCATGAGGAAGAACGCAAGCTGCCCAATCCCTTCCGGAGGACGATGCCTCGCTTGACTGCTCGCTCACTGTCATCCTCAGCTGCCTCAACAACGACGGCATCTTCGGCTCCCACTCCTCGTTTCCGAAAGAAGGGCAGTGGAAAAGGGCATGGAACCCATGTTGCCCAGCCAGAAGATGAAGAACTTCTTGAGGATGAAGATGAGGATTGAGAGTGCGATGAGGCCTATGAAGCCTTCGTTCAAGAGCAAGAGGAATGTCCAGAAGAGGACATCCTTCCGTGGCCCAGATCGACAAGATCCTCGCAAGGAGGCCGCAACGTGCTCTTCACGTGGCCAGCGTGGACACTGGAAGGGAGATCCTGAGTGCCCCAAGGTGAAGAGTCAAAGGTCAAGAACAAGAATCAGGTGAACTTTGTAGATACAGCCAGTGGGCCTGCGCAGAAAGCATTTGTCGTGCATGATCGAGGTGAGAAGCAGCCCGGCATGAAGGTCCACGAGGTGGACTTCACCTTCATGGCGGCTCGCATGTCTAGCCCGAAGGAGCCGCCCAAGAAAGGCGGACGGAAGGATGATGATCGCTTTTGCTCTTCACGTGGCACCTCTACGGCCGCTCAGAAGATGACTGACAAGCCAAAGAGGAAGCCTTCTCCTTCAGTATGCCTCTGGCTCCAGCTTTGAGCGTGCCCCCAAGTGTGCTGTCGCAAGAAAGAAGAAGAAGACCGAGCCACAACGGTCACAGCTGCTGAGGCCTGTCTGGCCATCAAGTTCATGTCCAAGTCGGAGAAGAAGGAGCTCTATAAACAGCTCAAGAAGGACCAGGAGTCAGAGCAAAAGGAAAAGGGGCGTGAGACGTGAGACAAGGGCGGACCGAGAAGATCGAGGTCGTGCATCGACTGATGTTCCAAGAAGGACAGATGTTGCTCCAGGTCGAGAAGAGACCACCCTTCGTCCACCTACGGACAAGTTGCCCGAAGCTGTGAAGAAGAAACAGTTGGATGCTTTCCGCAAGGCCCTCTACGAGGAGAGAGTGGATCGACATGGATATCTACGTCCTTCTGAAGGATCGGCTTTGCCTGTTGGGCATCAGACTGAATGCAAGCATCCATTTCGGAAGCTGTGATGGAGTGCCAATCAGCATGGTCACTTTGCTCGCTGCCGTGAATGCGATTTGAAGAATGTTCTGTGCTGGCATGAACGACATGGCTCCTACACAGCAGAGGCACTTCATGAAGGACACAAAGTGCAAGGCTTGCTTCCGCAGGAGTTGTTAGCCATTGGTGATTCAGGCTGCAAGACGGCTGTTGGAGGTCTTCGATGGCATGAACGACTTCAGAAGGAGCTGACAAGTCGGGGCCTTTCATGGACATCAGTGACAGAATGTGAGGTTTGGTGCAGGTGAAGCTGTCAAGTCGACTCAGGCACACATTTACCCAGTGGGCATCCATGGTTGCAACAGTTGGCTTCGCGTGTCCGTTGTTGGTGATGATACCACCGATTGCCCAGGTCTCATCGGGCCAGCTGATGTGTCTCGTTGGCGTGTCACATTCAAGTTCCATGAACGCCAGATGGAAGCAATGGGAAAGACCCGAGAGATGGTGCTGACATCTACCAGACATCCGGGCATCAACCTCCTGGAGTGTGGGCACCTGGGCGACTTTGAGGAAGACCCGCAGTTGAAGGAGCTTCGCAAGCAGTTGGTGGAATGTCCATACGCCTTCACCTTCCTCCAAGGGCAGGAGTCTGAAGAGGAGCATTTAGCTGCAGAAGAAGAACCATATGAATTCCTGTCAGAAGATGAGCCCCAGTCGCCTGAACTGTGGGAGCTGGCCCAAGACTTGGAGAACTTGCCTTTGGTGGAGCGCCAAGATCCAGAAGTGCCTGGTGAATCAAGTCATGAAGAGTCGGATGAGACACGCGCTTCCCATGAATTCGGGATCCAATGGCAGAGCTCTGATGAAAGTCCTTCAGAAGTTGACGATGAAGAAGAAAGGCACCAGAGCTGGTGGTGCAAGATTGGGAAGATGGCCACCTTCAACAAAGGCAAGAAGAGAAAGATGCGGCGCAATGTCAAGGAAATTCGAGAGGCATTTCATGGAAGCCAAGTGAAGAAGTCGTCCATTCCTCGGACACCATCTGTGCCGGCGCCAAGAGCGCCCAAGAAGCCATACAAGGTCCTGGAGATTTTCACTTGGACCATGGCCATTACCCTATGTGCTGTTCAGCGAGGTTGGACTGGTTGCGAGCCAGTGACATTGCCAAGGTGGAATCTATGTGACCCCATCCATAAAGCTGAGGCCCTCCAATACGTGATCAGGGAGGAGCCTGACTTGGTGGCGCTCGCCTGCCTTGCACGGTTTGGTCCCCGCTCCAGTTCTATGGAACTCGTATGACTCCAGATCGGCGTCAACGGCTTTTGGAGCGACAGGCGGAGGGCCGTGAAGATTTTTTGAGCTTTGTTCATGATGTGGTGAAGGTCCAACGGCGTCGTGGCCGTGCTCATCTGGGAGAGAATCCTCTTGGCTCAGCAGCATGGAAGGAGCCGATGATCCAAGCTGCCTATGAAGATGAATATCATGGCAAAGCTCACATGTGCTCATTTGGGTTGAAGAGACCTGATACTCGTGAGCCTTTGAAGAAGCCGACTGGATTGGCAGGCGCGAAACAGATCACAGAAGCCTGTTCAAGGACCTGTTCATGTACCGTCCCTCATGGTGAAACTCTTGGCGCCTGTGTCACGGGCAACCACCGTTACTCTGTTGCTGAGTTTGCTGGCTACACCAAGAGTTTTGCTCGCCAGGTGGTGCTTGGTGCTGAGAGGTTTTTGGATGAATGGACACCGCATGAGTGTCGAGCCTTCACCGTGGAGGAGGTGCCAGAAGAGAGGTTTATGGAGGTGGATGAACCAGTACCTGAAGAGCGAGACCTGTTTGATCAGCTTTATGAGGAGGAAGATTCCAAGATGCCGCCGCCTAAGTCAGAAGAAGATGGTGACAAAGAAGGCCCTAAGAAGCCGGTCAAGGAGGTGGTTGAGAAGCTGCGTCAAACACTTGGGCATCCTTCCAAGTCAACAGTGATTCAGATGCTGAAGTTGGGAGGAGCGCCAAAGGAAGTACTGTCAATATCAACAAGCCCCACGCGTGAGGCCTGCAGCTTTCAATCAGGAGGTCCATGTGGACTTGAAGTACGCAAAGAATGTCAAGGGTGAGACTTTCGTTGCTTTGAGTATGATCTGTGCAGCCACCAACAAGCACGCAGCAGTTCTTTTGAAGACCCGCAAGCCAAGCTATGAGTGGATCTTGGTGTTGGAGGCCTATGGAATTCACTCGAAGACGAAAGGGGCTCTCATGCTGGCTGGCAAGGCATGCTTTGGTGGAATTCCAGGCAGTGACCCGCCAGGACATGGCACTCACCCTTGCTTGGTCACCAGAAAGGGATACTCAGCAAACATGCTGGTCTTTGGCAAGAACATTTCCTTCCCTGAGATGTTGGCAGACGATGACTATGAACCTGTGACTTTGGCACAAGCGCAGGACATGGACAGTGAAGTCATGAAAAGAAATCGAGTAAGACAGAAGGCAAGACAGATTCTCCTTCGCGAAGACATTCAAAGCAAGTTGAGGAAGGCTTTGCAAAAGAAGCCAACCGATCAGAGCACTACCTTTTCTCCAGGTGACGTCATCTACTTCTTTGTTCCTCATCCTTCCAAGCCCCGGTATCGGAAGGATAGTGGACGGTGGAGAGGACCGGGCGCGAGAAATTTTTTGTGTCATGGCGAGGCAGATGTCTTCTCCTTGCCGCTCCTAATATGCGCAGAGGAGGCCGAAATCAGGGGGGGGCCACGAAAGACCTGGAAGAACTTGAAAGGAACTTCCAAGAAGGGCCAGAAGATACCAAGCATTATGAAGATGCCACCGACCTGTTGCCACCTCAGGATGTGGTACCAAAGGCATCCAAGGTGACAAGGAGGCAAAGAGCATGATGAGTGGCCTGAAGTCAGTGCGAAAGCTGGTCTCACAAAGACCGAAAGCTTCTTCAGATTCAAGACAAGCTGCCACAAAGAAGAAAGGAAACGCGGAAGTTCAAGGCCATTGAAGATGGAAGCGTGAATATTCATCGGCCACGCTATGAGGCAGCGTGTCTTATGATCCAACTCCCCCACCAAGTCCACGACAAGATGAGCCGCCAGAACCGGAAGTTGAGGATGCAAAGGAAGATGCACCGAAGGAGACAGAAGAAGATGAAGATTTCTGGCGTGAAGATGAGGACCTCTATGACCAAGAAGAAAAGGCAAGACAGGAAAGAAGAAGACGCTTGCTTGATGAATTCCCCAAAGCCGCTTTGCATAAGAGGGTTTTTGAAGTACCAGAAGGTGAAGATGATGATGTGAGCAAGCGTCTGAAGCAAGAGTTTTTCTCAACTGTCATGCTGGCGGTGTCTGAGCAGGACTTGAAGAAGAGTTCGCCTCCAGGTCAGAGGAGAAGAGCAAATGAATGGCTCCAACGCAACGAATTGAGAAGTTTGAGAGAGCTGCTGGGGCTTCCAATCACGGCAGCTAGATGGCACATGGCCCCGAGGAAGAGAATGCAGAGGCCACCCAATGCAGCAAGTCGAAGAAGGATTAGCTTTCTTTTGGGTGAATCTCCCGGCATGGCTTTGCTGGTTCAGGAAGCGTCCCATGAAGTGCTTTCACATCCCCGCCGACGAGCTCCTTTCCCTTGGCGAGGTTTGACCCCTTTTGTAGAAGATGCAGTGAAGCAGTCATGCGAGAAAGGTGCCTTCATTCAGGTGGGTGAGAAGACGATGAAAGTTCCTTGGCCGGAAGACAAGATGCATGCGTGGGAGGAAATTTTTCAATCAATCTAACTTGCAGCAAGAAGCAATCGAAACCTTCCTCTTGAAGATGAAGACCAGTGGCAAAGAGCTAGATGCAAAGCGCTTTGATGCCCGAGAGAAGGCTTTGTTTGATGCTTCAGATGCTGCAGAATGGAAAAGTTGGATTGACAACAAGGTTGTTCAATACATTCCTCCTGAACGTGCGCGAAAATGCTCCTCGTTCCAAGATCTTTTGGATTCCACTGAGATGGGTGAGAGTCAACAAAGGCAAAGAGCTGGGCAAGGTCAATAACATCATTGCCAGGAGTCGTTTGGTCATTCCAGGGCATGCAGATCCCCAGCTCGGGGAGTTCCGGACCGACAGTCCAACCACTACACCTGCTGCTGTGAAGATTTTGAAGACTCTGGCCATTACCAAGAATTGGTTGATGTGTTTATTTGACGTGTCCACTGCCTTCCTCTCAGGCAATCCTACAGACCGTGAAGTCTATGTTCGAGCTCCGGCAGACGGCTTGCCTGCTGCGGCATCAACTCCAGCCATTGCCCCGCAAGATCCTCAAGAGTGCCTATGGGTTGGCAGAGGCACCAAGGTTATGGTACTTGAAAGCATCGCAGCAATTAGAGCAATTCGGAATGCTGGAACTGCCGTATGCCCGTTCGACCCCTTTGAGGGCAAGACCGTTGCTGTATGTACTTTGCGCGTAGATGACGGTTTGATTGCTGGACCTAGGGATTCAGATGTTTTCCAACGGCTTCTCCGTGACATCAATCAAGAATTCAACATCAAGGAGTGGCAGTGTTTGGGACCAGAGCCTTTGGATTTCCTTGGTTGTCAGGTGAGCTTGAAGAATGGATGCATCGTTGACTCTATGAACGAATATGTGAAGCGCATTGATGCCATGAAGGCAGAAAAAGGGAACGCTCCACTGTCAGATTCCCAGAGAACTGCCTTCCGTCGTTTGATCATGCAGCTTCGTTGGCCGGCGCAACATGTTCTCCCAGAGTGTTTGTTCCAGGTCAGCTCCTTAGCGCAAAAGGTTACAACTGCCACACAAGCAGATGTTCGAGAAGCCAACAAGCTCTTGGAAGACTATAAGGTCATGGCTCAGAAGGGTTTGATGGAGCTCCGGTATTTTCCCCTAACCGGTGCTCCTTTCATCATTTCTTTCTTTGATGCTGGTTTAGGCAAGAGCTCGGAGACTCGAGCGCAGTTGGGCATTTTCTGTCGTCGCCAGAAGCTCGAAGCCGTCCGACACCCGCCAATGCCCTCCTTTACAAGAGCAGCAAGATTGCGAGGGTGGTCAAATCAAGTCTGGCAGCAGAAGGAAAAGCCCTGAGTGCAGCAGCTGATGAACAGCTGTATCTGAGGTTGCTGTGTGAGGCATTGTGGATGTGTCCTCCCACGATTTTTTCAGAGTGGAAGGAGTCCTTGAAGATTGCTGCCATCTTGGTTACAGATGCCAAGGCCCTTTACGACCATTTGTTGAAGACAGGCCACGTGACATCTGAATGACAGACCATGATTGACATTCTTGCTGCAAAGCAATTGGTGGAGGCTTCATTGGTTGAGATAGCATGGGTGCCGACATTTCGGCAGTTTGCCGATTGCCTTACAAAGCTGATGTCAGGTGAGCTGTTCATTTGCTACAAGAAGGAAGGCGCCCTGTGTTTGAAAGAAACCCCAAAAGATCGTGAGATCGAAGAACACCGTGCTTCTTTGCGACGTGGGCAGAGGGAACGCAGACGTGCACGCATGTTGAAGAGTGCTGTCACACCAACGCTTCTTCCCTCCAATGTGAAGAGTGCATTGTTGAGCCACGGTTGAGCTTGGTGTGACATGTATGTGGTTCATTTTGCAAACCGAAGCCACATGTGCGCTATCAAGGAAAACACGCTGCACGCCGCTGCTTTCATTTGCATTTGCACTTGCTTGGGTTTGATCCGTTTTCAACACGTTGGTGTTTGCTGTTGCTTTTGGTTTTCCGCACCATACCCGGCACCACTAGCATCGCCCACCATAGCATGACGTTCATTCACAGGCAGCAACAGCCAACAGCAATGCTCCTACAGGGAGGTTGCGCAACATGGCCTTTATGCAATGCACGCGCATTTGCGGTCTTTACAAAGCACAGGAATTTCGCCTCGCGACCCAGGCCACTCTTATGCGGAGCGCGTGTGACATACAAACGCATTTGCATCACAGCTGCCACACAGCCTTGCGTTTAGACACCACGGATTTTATTTGACATAGTTCTGCGCAAGGCAGTGTTTAGACGCTGCAGCTTCTACGCCGAGCAATGCTGACGCAGCACAGGGTTTCCATAAGCCCCTTCTTGCACCACACTACATGCTGTAGCAACCTCTCCTTGCGAGCCCGGCCACTCTTATGCGTAGCGTGCATGTGACATACGACCGCCGCAGCGCAGTTTTGGCACCAGGCAGTTCTCTCTCTCTCTCTCACACACACACCACCGCTCTTACATACAGCAGTAATGACAAACCTCCCCGTGCGCACACCACACCACATGTTGTAGCAATCTCTCCTCGCGACCCCGCATGCGACATACGACCGCACCGTTTCTCACCAGGCAGGCTTTACAGACCACAGCTGTTACAAAGGTGACTCTCTACCTTTCGTGTTTCCCTGTCTCAAGTTGCGCGAAGCACTCCGACTTGTCAAACTTGTTGAAACCAAGCAAAACACACACTTTCTGTCTTCTGCTCCAGCAAGAACTGTTTGGGCTGAACATTCTTCGTAAAGCAAATTCTTCAGGCGTTTGCCAAGAAACGATTGCAATTGAACTTTTCATCCGTTCTTCAGCCTGTTACTGGCTGAGCTGGCTGTCCATTGCCTGACGAAACACAGGCTTGATGTGGTCAGCTTGCTGGATTTGCTGGGGGCCTGCATCGATTCTGGAAGAGCCGGATTTGTACCTTCTGTTTTTTTCGAGCTCATGGCAGAAGTTCCACAACTTTTCAATCAGAGATCTACTGGAGAGGCAGGACTTGGCAAGCGTCCCACGTGTGCAAGACAATCTACTGAGCTTACTACTGTATTATACAGTATATGTATAATATGGTATGATATACATTAATATATACAGGGCACATGCTGACCCATGCCCATAAGCCACTCTGCTCCGGCAGTGGTAGAAATGGCCACAGAGTAAAGAACAATCGCTCAGTTTTTATCTGATTAACCGGTCTCGTGTTAAACGCAATCCCTCGTGTGAATTGATACCCTTTTGAGCTGCGTTCGCCGACCCTGACTCACAGTGTTGAATGTCGGCATCTTTCACGCTCAAAGCTTCTGGTTCATGCACCAGGCCCTGGTGGAAACGGCCAGGTTTTTAAGTTGGGGCGCTAGCTCAGGGTGGTTTGGACTGGTGTGTCCAGTTCGGGTGTCTACTGCTGCTGATTGCTTCCGCCTGGTGCCTCGGTTTGAGGACAGCGTTTCTCATTCCTTCCCATCATTGGCAGAAGGAAAAGTCTATTGCTTGGCCGCTGGAGTCGCGTTCCCTGACCCAGCGTCTGGGACGCAATGACCGTCATCCCAGAAGACTTCAAAGTCCTGGACCCGGAGGCTTTCCAGATTGCTGTATTGAGGTTGGACTTCGATGCAGAGCATGGCAACGGGTCAGAGGGCTTTGCAATCCCAGTTTTGGCGCGTCAGGATGGCTTCTTGTTGGCAGTCCCAAAGAATTTCATCCCTCAAGAGATCATAGATCAAGGAGGCCATGCAGCTATGGACGACTTGGTAGGTCCTTCTCGGGTTGTGAAGGTGCCTGCAGTTTTGGAGGAGGACGATGGCACCTTCACGCCTCTTCGATTTGGAGGTCCTGCTGATAGATTTCAATCGGCGTATACTGGATTCTCTCCGAGGCTTCGATCTGGTTACAGAGGGGCCAGGAATCTTCCTCTTTTGCGCAGACAGCTTCGATGTTCTCCCCGAGCCAAACTCGCTCTTGGTGGCCACCACTCAATGGGGTAGCAGGCGAGAGGGTGCAGTTCTATTCAGCAGACGAAGCTCAGGACCTACATGTAGACGCAGAGCCTGCTCAAAAGAAGAAGACAGCCAAACCTCGGGCGCAAGAGGGTGACCACGGCAACTTTGGCGGAGCAGCTTGCAGGTCTTGCTCAAAGTCTCCCTGCTATATCGTCCCAGCTCGAGGCCATGGAGAAAAGACAAACCAGGGTGGAGTCAATCTCCTATGAGGGCAGGGCCTACAGTTGCGGTCCCGGCCCATCGGCAGCCCTTTCAGATGCCAGAAGATGTACAGGTGAAAGCCTCCCCAGGGAAGTTTCTCCAAACCATAGGGAGTCAGACACGGCTCGTCCGGTGCTGCCCATCCAGATGGTCGAAGACGAACCGGTCGCCCTTCCCTCCGATCCAGACTATGTGCCCGCGAAGCACGTACCGTCGGCTACAGACCCGTCTCTGCAGGTTTCGGATCTTCTGCTGCAGCAGTCTCAGGCTCTAACCACCCTGGTGGCTCATCTGGCTTCAGGGGATGGCTTGCACGACTTCGGATCTTCTACCAGCTCTACCAGCCTATCTCTCCGGGGCTCAACCAAGCGGGAGAAGCTGATAGGCGATTTGAGTGCCAGGAAAGGATAATTTTTCCTCAAGGTCTCCCAGAATGCTTTCAGGAGGCTGAAACCGTCCGAGCCAGTTCCGATGAGCTTAGTCGACATGAGAGGCAAGAGTCTTTTCAACAAGTATGCCGAACGTTGCGGTGGCTTCCAAGGACAGAGAGGCCTCGGCCTAGTGATGTGGCTCCTAACCTGCATAGCCGACCAGATGATTGCCGGAGATGTGAATTGGTGACGGTGGAACAGGCCGCGCAAGATGGAGGAAAGTGGGATGTGGCCTGGCTCCTCGCGCTACAGGAAGATCCGCCCCTGGGCCTTTTCCAAGCACGGCCAGCCACCACAAACCCGAGATTGCGGGCGTCCGCCCGAGTGGGCCACCATTGCTCTTGCCTATGTCAAGGAGGTGGACCTGATCAACTCCAGGAGGCAGGAAGCTCTCCCAGGAAAGAAGGGAAACCCCTCCAAAGATCACGAAGAGGGCGACCAATAGCGGAAAAAGCCTCCGCGCCATCCAAAGAAGAACAAGCCTCCGGAGGGCCAGTGAGTGTCCACACAGCGGAAGCACCAAAATCCCAGAAGCAGAGGGTTCCTTATGTTCCGGTCTATGTTCCGACAGTAGATGTTGCCAGACTGCAAAGGAGCCCTCCCACAGCACGGACACTTTTTCTCCGGCTCCAAAGAGTACATCCTCTTCCTGGAGCTCTATGAACTATTCTTTTGATCGCTGGACCTACGACCTGGTCAAGGTGGTCTTGTATCCCGTACACCGTTTTTAGAATTCGTACGTCAGACCTTCTACTGCCACAGAGTGGACTTGCATGTCTCTGAGGAAGCTCTTTTTCCATTGCCTGTGCCAAAGCCTGGTGTTTTCAAGGTGGCAAAGTGTGGATCTCGGGAAAGAAGAAAGAGGAGGTTCGATCAGGCCTTTCACGTCTTTGTGATGGCTCTGAACTTTTGGCATTCCGACTTCCACTTCATCCCAGTCGAGCTGATGACCAGACCGCCGAACAAAGCCCAAGCCAAGGCGTTAGAGAATCTCCGGGCGTTGATGAGAGCTTTCGGTAGCTGTCGGGAAGAGTTTCATGTCCCTGGCAGTGGCCGTAGACTACCCACTTTGGTGTCGCTCCTGGATGACCTTTCCGACTTTTTGACTCGTGAAGGGCATGGCAGCGATCCCTATTCAAGAGCTTTCCCGGGTGCACCTGAACCTACAACTGGCACCGTCCTTGAGCGGGACTTTACCAAGGCCGAAGAGCTGATCCTGTATCGCACTTTGGACCCTGCTCGGCTGGCGCTATTTGGTTGCTTCCTGGGATCTTTCACCTTACCTTTCTGACAAACTTTGGATGGCCTATCAAGAGCCTGAAGTGATTCGTTGGACTCGAGATGGCCGCACTCCAGATGTTCCTGACCTCAAGAAGGAGTCCTACCAGTCCACTCTGGGCCTGGCGAAGATTTGGGACCGCCAAGGACAGCTTTTCATCCGGGATGCCCCCCTTGATGAAGAGGAGATGGATCTTTCTATGAGGTTCTTCAATTGCTACAAGAACTCGACCGCTTTTTCTGCTTTGGTCAAAGGGAGATCTCCTTCTCTTGGCTTGCGCCGGGTGCTTCGAAGAGCGGGTGCTACATGCATAGCAGGATGCTTGTACATTGGCTATCGTTTTGGGCCTACTCGTCTCCTTCCTGCTGATCATCCGACCCGAGACAATGACATGCCTTCACCGTCAGAAAGCTTCTTGCCATGCTGGACAGAAAGCCAGAAATATGATCTGCTGGAAAAGCTGTCAGTCCCTCGAGTAGCGGCAAATTGGGTCAGAGTGTTCTTGAGACTTCTTGGCACTTCGCCCCCATGGCTGGGGAGCGGTGATAGCTGGAGATATGCCCATGTGGTCTACAAGCACTACCCCTTTACTTTAGCCACAAGAAAGGGTGCTGGAGCTTCACAAGATGACATCGAGTTCAATGCCTGTTTGGCTGGAGAAGGTCATTGGGCGAAAGATTCCTCCTTCCACCCCTTGGATTTTGGCTCTGGCTCCTTCGGGAAGCCTCAGTTCCCTGGTGGACTTCCTGGAATTTGGATTTTGCCTTCTGCCCTATTTGGGTTTCGCCTTTGCTTGGCTTCCGCTCTCTCTCACGCTGTCACTAATGGATTTGCCTTGTCTCGTTCTTGGACTTGGATTTTCTTTCATGGAATTTCTCCATGTCTTTGGACTTTCATCCAGCTTCCGTGTTCTGGTTCTGCCGGCCTTCCCTCCAAGAGCATTCCGCATCGCTTCTCTTGCTGCCGGGCACACAAACCACCTTGGGTTCTTTTAACCTTTGTTTTGTGTGTACATATTGGGGTAGCCGCGCCTAGCCATGGCCCTGGACTGAAGCCTCGAGACCCAAGAGACCTAGGCCAGACTCAAAAACAGCGTGACCAGTTGCTGGAAGGGTTTGATGCCTGGCTTAGAGAGCAGAGAGCCTGACACTGGAACAGCTGCTTTTTGTTGGTGAGCCCGACATAGACGCCATCAACATTTTGTTGGAGAGTTTTGGCCGCCAGGCCTACAAAGCAGGAAGACCGTACAACCACTATGCCGAGACCATTAATGCAATTTCAGGGAAACGTCCTCGCATCCGCAGGTCATTGCAACCTGCCTGGGATTTGGCCTACACCTGGCTGAGGCAAGAGCCTCCCACCCACCGCCTGGCCTTACCATGGCAGGCACTTTTGTGCCTGCTCTCGACATCCTTGAGTTGGGGGCGAGCAAGAGTGGCTGGAGTGATTGCCCTTTCCTGGGGCAGCTTAAGCAGAATAGGAGAAGTGCTGAATGCAGTGAGAAAGCAGTTGGTCTTGCCCTGCGATGTCGAGTTCTCGACAGACTACGCTTTACTACAGATAGCTGAAGCAAAGACGAGGTATCGTGCTGCTCGACATCAGGTGGCTAGATTAGATCAGCCCCAGCTGCTACAGGTCATTGAGATTGCCTTCTCGAAGCTGACCCCTGAGGGGAGACTCTGGCCGATGTCAGGCCAGGCGATGCGAAATCGGTTCCAAAAGTTGCTGGCATGTGTTGGGCTGACTTCACTGCCAGATGGCCTCTCAAGAGGCCTCGACCTTGGAAGTCTTCGTGCCGGGGGGGCATCCTGGCTGTTGATGACAAGTGAAGACTCCGAACTGACCCGCCGCCGCGGGCGGTGGATCAATTCGAAAGTCATGGAGATCTATGTTCAAGAAGCATGGGCAATTCAGTTCCTGCCAATGCTTCCACCTACGACCAAGGCGATAGTGATTTCTGGAGCTTCAAATTTCCCTTGGATCCTTTCCAAGGTCTACAGATTGTTTGCAGCAGGTGTGCCAGAGTCAATCTGGCAGTTGCTTCTGACACAACAAGCAGCTCCGCTTCGCATGAAAGAGTTGGGAAAGAGACACTTGGAAGAAGAAGAAGAAGCGGGTGGTGAACAAGCACGAAAGGGCATGAAGCCCCTGTGAAGAGTCCGCACGGCAGTAGAAGGAGAAAAGAGCGCCTTGAA